TGGACACTGTTGCGTGCCGACATACGTCGCCTTGAACAATTCCACAATCGCTGCGTTCGTGTCATTCTCGGCATCTCGCGTTCCAAACAGTGGGAGGACCACCTGTCATCTGCCTCTCTGCATAGAATGTGCGCTACAGAGCCAGTTGCTGACATGGTTGCCCGTCGACGGCTGCAGTGGCTTGGCCACATTGCCAGGATGGACGACCACCGGCTTACAAAGGCAGTGTTGCTCTCGTGGCTCGTGAACATGGCGAGTGGATCCAGTCCATCTCGGATGCCATTGTTGCACGGCGCTTACGACTTGAAACGACAGCCAAGTCAGTGTGTTGTGCGATCTGTGAGCGACTCTTCGCTAGTGAGAGCGGACTTCGGCAGCACAAATGCAGGAAGAGTGACTGAAGCCGATCCATGAACAGGCCGGTGCTGTGTTGTGCGAAACGTGCCATCGTTGGTTTGCTAGCCGAGGTGGATTCGCTGTGCACAGCTGCTCTCCCAGTTTTGGTGACGGTCCAGTTCCAGAGATTGTTGCACCTCACCAACCTGATTGCAGCCAATGTCATTACCACTGCCACACCTGTGACCGCTGTTTCCGGAGCAAAGCTGGACACTGCCGGCACAACTGCAACTGCAACTGCAACCGCACATGCAGCTCTGGCTTCGAGCGCCGCACCATCCCACGCCCGACCTGCTCTCGGAAGTTCACACGTCTCCAGTACCTGGCTCAACACAAATGCAAGAAGTAACTCTGCCCTCCTTGCCTCTTTGATGCACTGCATCACCTTTAGGTGGCAGTTTCAAGGTTGAAGGTTGAAGGTGTGTGTGTGTGTGTGCGTGTGTGTGTGTGCGTGTGACGGTCAATTCTTCAGCCTTGCAAGCTGTTGAATGTTGCGATCCCAGCACAAATTGCTATGGCTTCTGCCGTAGCATTGCTATCATCGCCTCCGGCGATGGGCGTCAAAGGTCAAGGTCAAACGTGTGCGTGTGTGTGTGTGTGTGCGTGCGTGTGTGTGCGTGCGTGTGCGTGCATGCGTGGGTGCGTGCGTGTGTGCGTGCGTGTGTATGTGTGTGTGTATGTTTGTGTGTGTGTGTTTGTGTGTGTGTGTGTGAAGGGGTGTCGCACATGGTACGGTCACTACGGTACTGACCGTACCAATATTTGCCGAAAGCACCCGTGGATCAAGATAATGTACTGATTTGGGCTCTAATTTTCCAAAATTTCGGCTCGGCCACCCCTCCCCCACGAGTAAAGTGTACTTCAGATGGCTGACCGTACCACAGTCAATTACCTTCCGACGCCCCTGCTGTGTGTGTGTGTGTGAGAGAGAGAGAGAGTGTGTGTGAGTGTGTGTATGTGTGTGTGTGTATGCACGCGCATGCGTGCGTGCGTGCGTGATATGGTGCAGTGGTATGTGCAGACAATTTCCAATCGTCAGGTTTTAGGGGTTTTACATCGGGCCCTAGAGGACCGCTAAAATGGCCAACCGGACAACAAAGCAGTTGAGGCCAAAGACAATGATTTTATTTCTTGCGCATGCATACATAAGAAGTGACGTAATAGGAGTCGGGTTGCTACAGTACTCCCCTGCCAGGGGTGAGGTCGGGAGGAGTGAAGCACGAAAACCAAAACAAAAAGAGAAAGAAAGGAAATAGAAAATATAATACAATATGTACAAGAGAGCGATGTGTGTTTTTGAAATTTGTTGACAACGTGGCAACAAAGACCGAAACAAAAGTCGAAGAGCAGGAAGTGGAAAACAGAGAGATGCATGACAGAGGCGGGTTAACGTGTCAGAGGTGTGTTAACGTGACAGAGGTTGAGGGCATGTCAGAGGCAGAAAGAAAGAAAAGAGGAAAAGTATGCGTAACAGAGGAGTGTTATAATGTCAGAGGCGGCTGCATGTTGCAGGCTTGGCGGGGTACCAGCAGGAGCACTGCACTGGGCCGAGGTGTGCCGGGTGAGGTGGGGGCTGATGGAGACGTGCACAGCTCCACTTGTAAGTCCGGTGAGCCGTGCGTATGCCTGCGTTCGTGCACTGTTGAGCTGGTATGGTGGTGATGGCAGGATGAAAACTCCAAAAAGTGCAAGTCGGGGTCACCAATTTAGAGGCTTTACGTCAGGCCCTAGACGACGGCTACAATGGCCAACCGGACAACAAAGAAGTTGAGGCCAAAGAGAGTGATTTTATTTCTTGCGCATGCTTATGTATGAAGTGATGTAATAGGAGTCGGGTCACTACAAGGTTCCGGGTTCAATTCCCGACGATTATGGTCACACATGTCATTCTTCTCTTTCTCATTTACCTAGCTCTTCGTTCATTCCCTTGTGTGGTTACCAATAGACAGTGCATGCCAGAGCATGTGCTGCCAAGCCACTGTGTCAGCTCTTTGCTCTTTGCTTCCAGCACGGAGTCCAGCCACAAATGTGGAAGACTGCCAGCGTGGTTCCAATCCACAAGCGATCTTCACGATCCGCCCTAAGGAATTATCGTCCAGTTTCACTGCTGAGCATAATCTCTAAGATCATGGAGAGCGTTATCAATCGTCAGCTCATGAATCACCTTGAGCGTTACAAACTCCTGACACCCCACCAGTTCGGGTTTCGTCGCCGCCTCGGGACCTCAGATGCGCTACAGGCTCTACACCACGCCTGGATCACAGCCGTCGGCCGAGGCGGTGCAGCACGTATTCTAGCCGTGGATATTGCCGGAGCATTCGACCGTGTGTCCCATGCTGGCCTCCTCCACAAAGTCCGCCATCTTGGCATTGGCGGCCCCCTGCATACCTGGCTCTCTTCCTACCTAGGTGGACGGTCCATTCAATGCTTGGTGGGCGGCCAAACCTCATCGCTGTATACCATATCAGCAGGAGTTCCCCAAGGGAGCATACTCGGCCCTACACTCTTCCTGATTTACGTGAACGACGCCTCAGAGACCCTGTCACCCGGAGCCCACCTGGAGGCGTACGCCGACGATACTACCTTGTACAGCCTGATATCCCTCGACACATCCCCAGCCGACGCAGCATTGAGCCTCCAGACTTCTGTTGATCGCTTACATCAGTGGGGCCGCAGATGGCGCATCTCCTTCGAACCGTCGAAGTCCCAAGCCATGACCGCCACTCTCCGCAGAACCCCCATCAATTTGCCTCGCATTGTCTTCGGCGGCACTCCTGTCCTTGAGGAGAAGGCTCTCTCTTTACTTGGAGTGACCTTCGACTCGAAGCTGTCATTCAGCACTCATCTCCGGAAGGTTGCCACTCGAGCCAAACAACGCCTGGGCTTCCTGCGCCGTGCAGCGCACATTCTCTCTCCAGCCGGCCGCACCACAGTATACAAGGCATTTGTTCGACCAGTTATGGAGTATGCCCCCCTCATCTGGATAGGTGCTCCGCCCAGCTACCTGCAACGCCTGGATCATATCCAACGCTGTGCTTTGCGAATCATCGGTCCAGGTGCACTATTACCTAGCCTGGCCAACCGTCGTACTGTTGCCTCGCTTGCCTGCCTATACAAGCTGCTTTACCTGCCTGGCCCTCCGCAGCTGCTCTCTGTTTTGCCACCGCGCCATTTCCCCTCATCCAGCCCCAGAACTCGCAGTGAGCATGGTAGCGTCATTGGCCATGACCACCAGCTCCAACGCCAGCTGCTTGCATCTGTCCCGCTGGCATTAAAGCGCTCGTTCCCACACTGCAGTATTAGTGACTGGAACTCCCTCCCCGCCGCTCTTCTGTCCCAGCCTCCCCACAGCAAGGGAATGCAAGCATTCAAAACTAATGTTTATCGCCATCTGCGAAGCACAAACTGGCTCTGGGCAGTCGACTCGCTATGATGATGCTCTCGTCGTTCTCCTCTATCCCGATCTATGCACCACAACTGGCTCAGACAACCGACTCGCCATGATCAGCCATGATGATGCTCCTCTCAGTAACAGCCCTTGTAATTTGTTAATAGTCTCACAGTTTCTCCCGCACACTCGCTGATGTCAACCCTTCCTTTCTTTTCATTTTGCTGACTCGTACAGCTCTATCTTTTGTTTTTGGTGCGTGTTTTTGGCCGTGATGCCGAGACCTCAGGTCGGCAGAGCCATCAATGCCCCACCATCACTGCTGTGTCTCGGTGCAGCCCCTGCTCAATAGTTGTCACGTTCGTCCTAGTCTCAGTATCATTGTCTTTCTATATTATTTTCGAGCTGGGAGTGTGAACATAGTAAAAAAAAAAAAAGTGGTGTGGTGTGTGTATGAAAAAAGGAAAAATGCAAAAAAGTGGCTCAATGGACAGAAAAGTTACTTTTAACATCAGCTGTGTGTTGTAGACCAGGCAAAATGGCGGGGGGCAGGGGGGGGGGGGCTCACACACGTATGTAAGTGTGTGATTGTGTGTACCGTACTCACTCGATTAGAAGACCCTCTGGAATAAAAACCCTCTTGAATAAAAACCCTCTTGAATAATAGCCCCCCCCCCCTTTTACAAGCACTGTTTAAAAAAATCTCTCGAATAGAAGCCCAGACTCCTATACGCGAAGCGTGGGGTGACCATTTAGTGCCATGTATGTTAAAAGTGCGTAAAAAACATCTCGTGCATGTTCATATTGGTACATGTCCTGGCCAACGTAGTGTGTGCAAACTAACTCGGGGCCGAGTTGCTGTGAATATGAAAGTTTTAGAGATTCGATTGGAATACTGGTATGGAATGAAACAATATAAAACCCTCTCGAATAGAAGCCTGTCTTGAATATAAGCCTCGTCAAAATTGGTATTGAAAAATACAAGATCCCGGCTTTTAATCCAGTGAGTACTGTATGTGTGTGTGTGCGTGCGCCTGTGTTTGTGTGTGTGTGTGCACGTGTGTGTGTGCATGTTTGTGTGTGTGTGAATGTGTGTATGTGTGTGTGTATGTATGTGTGTATGTGTATGTGTGTGTGTATGTGTACACAGTATTGAACTCTTGAAGGACATAGTCATCACAGTGTAGAGTTTTAAATACATTTCGTTTTCATGCAGGTTTTCACTACTGATGGAAACTTCATTACCATGTTCGGATCAAAGGGAGAGTCAGATGGTCAGTTCAAGAGCCCTCGGCACATTGCCGAGGATAGGCATGGACACCTCCTTGTCACTGATGATATCAACCACCGTGTTGAAGTAAGCTGATTAGTGATTAGTTTGTCTTACCCTTTTGCTTCTAGCACTACTTCTGGTGCCAATATACATCATACCCTGTGGCAAGAGTGTGAAGCTGTAATTGCAATGCCTTTGGCCATTTTAGATTGAGAAGTCTCAACATGTGCTAGACTTGCAAGATGAAAACCTTCTACTGAGGTGGATTGATGACACTCGAGCCATTGCTGAGTGAAATACATTCAGTTGCAGTGTGGATATTGTGACAATTGGAAACAAGAAACCAGTGATATACGGTTTCTTTTGGGCCAGGTCGAACACTTTATTGTCGCCCTTCGTACATATCCAGGGGGTAATAGTGAACAAAAAGCAGCGAAATGAAAGCAATCTCTGGCAGAAAGCAAAGTACATCTTCAGCCAATCAACAAATCCTGGACTATGTGCACAATGACCCCTGTTGCATCTGCACGAATAGAGCACATAGCTGCAGTAGCTGTGGACCACGTGATGTGAGCTATGCCATCAGGGACCGTGTCTATAAACTCATTAGTTGAGCTTGAGTAGCGTGAAGAAGATTTTTTGGAAGACTGCCACTTAAATTATAGCTCTCCTCTGCAATCCAGACCACCACCAGATACGCACATTTATAGAAACACTTCATTTCCAGCATGACAAACACCTTGTGAACACCAGATAGCAGTGTAAGTCAATATTGCTCCTGGAAGGTGAGAACAGGTGTTGAGGAGTCTCGATCATTCACAACTCTGTCAACTCCAAACCAGCTAGTCAAAAACTTGTACTTGGAATATCAGTAAAAAAACAGTGGTAGCAACGTCGGTAATTGTAATGCAAGAAAATTGGTTGTAAGCCCAGCACAGCCTTGTAACTACATCATTATTAATGTTACTATTCCATAAAAAGTGACATGTCACAGGTTGTACGTGTGCAAAACAAGATTAAATCGTATCCATTTTGAAAGGATCGGGAGAATTTCAAAGTCAAAAGATCAGTCGGGAAGTAAGCTGCCTTAAAAGAGAGAAAAATGCCAGACCCACCAGGACTTGAACCCAGGGCCAGCTTGCTTGTCACGAGCAAATCTTATTCAAATGAATATTCTGTGGGATTTCGCCTTTGAATTTTAAGAGGAACTGTCACCTAAAGATTCCTACCCTTGTCTTGTGATGATAGAAAAAGTGTTGTTGTACCGAAGGTTGCACTGCTGCACATGTGTCTGAAAGGAAAGATGAGGGGAGCTTGTCACCTGCGTCTTTAGCAGATTCATCGTTATCAGAAGAATTACATTCACCTAGTTACGGTTCTTCTTGGCTCGGGTTGGTTTTGTGATCGCCGACCGAAGGTGCCGTGGTGCTGTTCTCGCCTTATGGTGCTGTTTTCGTTCAGTTTCGTAATGTTCCCCCACACGAAATGGACCAAGACCTTTCACTTACATGCCAAAAAGATCCTTGTGGAAGAAGTCAAAAAGATGGTAGCTGTTCAAATAACTACGTAGGTACACAGGGGCTCTACCTTTTGGCATTCTCGTTCTGCACAACATACCCATGTGTGCAGCTCTGGTGTCCAAGTTCACAAGGCGTAAGTGCACCAAACATCGGAACAGCTACAGTGTAGGTCGATCAACCAGCACACGGATTTGACTACGTTTTGACGATGAATGTACAAGTGGAGATCTAGTCCGGTGTGGCATCACACGGTACTTTGTGACAACTGTGGGCACCTTCATTTCAAATCCTGAAAACTGTCACCCAAGGGAAGTAATGGCGTTGACAGTTCCTCCATTCCAAGTTCATAGTGAGATGGTTACTCTAGTATACTAGTATTCGGATAACCTCAATCTGTGGACAGCATCCTCTGTGGCCCTTTGTGGACTCTTCAGCGCAGGAAAGGAAAAATGTGGCCGAACCTGATACATGTAGCAATGAAAAAATATTTTCCAAAGCCAGATTTAAATAAGGCCCAAAAGCACGTTACCAGAGTGCTCAAACTGCCACGTCAGTGAGCTGTGCATAACGCAGGCAAACAGCAAAGGCACTATCCCGCACGAAATTGCTCACCTACTACTGTTCTGGACATGGAAACCCAGTGGATTGACCTGGGCCGGCGTCCTCAGTGCGTACAGAACGTTGTGTACTACAGTCATGTTGATCTGATGTGACCAGTGTACTGCAGTGACCAGTGCACTGCAGTGACCAGTGCACAGCAGTGACCAGTGCACAGCAGTGACCAGTGTACTGCAGTGACCAGTGCACTGCAGTGACCAGTGCACTGCAGTGACCAGTGCACTGCAGTGACCAATGCACTGCAGTGACCAGTGCACTGCAGTGACCAGTGCACTGCAGTGACCAGTGCACTGCAGTGACCAGTGCACTGCAGTGACCAGTGCACTGCAGTGACCAGTGCACTGCAGTGACCAGTGCACTGCAGTGACCAGTGCACTGCAGTGACCAGTGCACTGCAGTGACCAGTGCACTGCAGTGACCAGTGCACTGCAGTGACCAGTGCACTGCAGTGACCAGTGCACTGCAGTGACCAGTGCACTGCAGTGACCAGTGCACTGCAGTGACCAGTGCACTGCAGTGACCAGTGCACTGCAGTGACCAGTGTACTGCAGTGACCAGTGCACTGCAGTGACCAGTGCACTGCAGTGACCAGTGCACTGCAGTGACCAGTGCACTGCAGTGACCAGTGCACTGCAGTGACCAGTGTACTGCAGTGACCAGTGCACTGCAGTGACCAGTGCACTGCAGTGACCAGTGCACTGCAGCGCATATACATCAACATGTACATGTACATGTAATGCATGTGTGTACTGCTTATCCACGGCTGAATGGCCAGCGCCCTGACCGGATTTCCATGTCCACGACAGTACAAGAGCAGGAGGAAATTACCAAATTTTACGGTGTGTGGGCTCATTGGAGTCTAAGCCGCACCCGCCTTTCCAGGTCCACCATCTGTATTTGTATTGCTATTGGCTGTATAAGCCAGCCGCCTGTCAGATTTTGAATGTTTTGGCAACCTATGGTTATCAGAATAAACCAGACAATGGTTAAAAGGTTGAGAAACATGACCGAAGTTCTACAAAGGTTTTCTACTTTGCCCTTCACTCAGAACTGGCAACATGTACAATAAGAAGCTTTGCACCAGTATAATGATGGGCTGCAGTACATGAAGAGTAGCTGAACAACACCATGCATGCAGTATATTCATAGAGTGCTGTAGCGCTGGTAGTCATTCCTAGCATTCCCAGTCTTAGCTGCAGGGGTGATTTTGCAGTTTTGTATGCATTTCAAAATGCGGAACACACCAGAAAATCCGGTACTCAATCTGCGGGCAGAATTGTTTTGCCCGTTGGCTTGTTTTACATGAGAATTTTCTACCTGGGTTGAAAGTCCGTACAAGGGAAAATAAGTGGGTGTTCACAAGACAGTTGACTCGCGTCAAATACTGATATGCCGTCAAAAAGTCCACTTCTAGAGTCCTACATAAAAAAGAAAATATTAAATTCGACGGGTTCGCGTACCGGGCAGGCCAAGAACAAGGAGTCGTACAACTCCCTGGTCAAGAACCACCTTTCCGCTTCCGTGGGACGCCACCACCCCATGATCAGGCGTCAGATACGGCTCCTAAACGGTGGGGGAGGATAGATGAGATCCACCAACAAGAGGCCAAAGGCCTAAATCCCAATTGCCACATCCATATTTAACTCATGCCAGGCCACGAGTTCCCAATGAACTGTGGGTCGCAGCACGATTGGAAAGAATCCTTCCACTTCCAAGCAGGACTTGAACCTGGTACAGTACCTCTCGTTTCTTAATCATGGTATGAGACCAATCCACTGTGCCTGCCTCAGTCCTACAATGTCACGTGAAAGCATTCGCGCAAAATGTTCCTGTGCAGTGCTGTTCAAACTTGTTCCGGTGCAGTGCTGTTCAAACTTGTTCCTGTGCAGTGCTGTTCAAACTTGTTCCGGTGCAGTGCTGTTCAAACTTGTTCCTGTGCAGTGCTGTTCAAACTTGTTCCGGTGCAGTGCTGTTCAAACTTGTTCCTGTGCAGTGCTGTTCAAACTTGTTCCTGTGCAGTGCTGTTCAAACTTGTTCCTGTGCAGTGCTGTTCAAACTTGTTCCTGTGCAGTGCTGTTCAAACTTGTTCCGGTGCAGTGCTGTTCAAACTTGTTCCTGTGCAGTGCTGTTCACACTTGTTCCGGTGCAGTGCTGTTCAAACTTGTTCCTGTGCAGTGCTGTTCAAACTTGTTCCTGTGCAGTGCTGTTCAAACTTGTTCCGGTGCAGTGCTGTTCAAACTTGTTCCTGTGCAGTGCTGTTCAAACTTGTTCCTGTGCAGTGCTGTTCAAACTTGTTCCTGTGCAGTGCTGTTCAAACTTGTTCCTGTGCAGTGCTGTTCAAACTTGTTCCTGTGCAGTGCTGTTCAAACTTGTTCCTGTGCAGTGCTGTTCAAACTTGTTCCTGTGCAGTGCTGTTCAAACTTGTTCCTGTGCAGTGCTGTTCAAACTTGTTCCTGTGCAGTGCTGTTCAAACTTGTTCCTGTGCAGTGCTGTTTAAACTTGTTCCTGTGCAGTGCTGTTCAAACTTGTTCCTGTGCAGTGCTGTTCAAACTTGTTCCTGTGCAGTGCTGTTCAAACTTGTTCCTGTGCAGTGCTGTTCAAACTTGTTCCTGTGCAGTGCTGTTCAAACTTGTTCCTGTGCAGTGCTGTTCAAACTTGTTCCTGTGCAGTGCTGTTCAAACTTGTTCCTGTGCAGTGCTGTTCAAACTTGTTCCTGTGCAGTGCTGTTCAAACTTGTTCCTGTGCAGTGCTGTTCAAACTTGTTCCTGTGCAGCGCTGTTCAAACTTGTTCCTGTGCAGTGCTGTTCAACCTTGTTCCTGTGCAGTGCTGTTCAAACTTGTTCCTGTGCAGTGCTGTTCAAACTTGTTCCTGTGCAGTGCTGTTCAAACTTGTTCCTGTGCAGTGCTGTTCAAACTTGTTCCTGTGCAGTGCTGTTCAAACTTGTT